TGAATGAGAAAATGGATTTGATGACTGTTGCGGCCAATAACTGTGGACAATTAGTGAATAGTGATACAGAAACCATCCAGGGTCCAACTCAGGAACCTGTATTGATTGGGCAAGTGCAGAAGATAATGGAGGAGGCTGTGGTTGCACCTCAAATAATACAAATGGAGAGGCCCAAGGCCCTACAGGAGCATAAGCCACTGTTTTTGAAGATTGAAGTTGGAGTGGGCCAGGGGGAGTCTGGAGCCGAGGAGGCTTTTAACTTTGGAGAGACTTCGAAATATGCTCGTAAATATTTTTTGGATTATATTGATGACTGTGGGGAGTGGGACTGTGGGGAATGGGCTGATTTGATGAAGGGAGACGGAGATAACTTTGGGTTGGAACTCCCCAGAGACCTACTCCTCAATGAGAAAGGAAAGAAATTAAGAAAGAGACCAACAAAAGACAAGGAAAAGTGCAAGTATAAACAAGAAGAAGAAGATCTGCAGAAGGGACATGGAAGAGACTTAAAGGCCTCAGACATAAGGCTTCCAGGTTGATGGACTAGATGGAATGGACAGTAAGGACTGACACGACCCGAGACCAGGAAGAAGAGACGTTGGATGAAGATTGGAAGAAAATTTATAAAGAAAACTTTTTATTTAGGGAATTAGCCTAAAATTAATGAATATTAGGGAAAATGTTGGAATGAAACTATATGACTCTAGCAGAAATGATATCAGGGGTTATGTATAACTGAGTATTAAGTTTCAAGCTTTAAGGTATTTTATGGTAAGATAAGGTTAAATAAATTAAGGTAATTTGAATAACAGAATATGGGGAAAGATAGAAAGGATCTGTTGAGTTAATTAATAGGTTAACTTGTTAAGATAAATTATTTAATAAAAATTGAGAAAGATGGAAAGAATTTGCTGAAATAACTAACTAAACTAGAATACAAAAAGGGAGGTGTGAGGAGGTCAACGAAACAAGCAAATGGAAGTTAAAGATATGCAATATGGGATTTGTGTCTTCCCCCCCCTTTTTTATATATATTTTTTATTGTATTGTTCTATTGGTTTTTATCTTTTGCGTTTTTTCTTCTTTTTATGTATTGTAGTGTTGTTTTTTCTTTTTTCTTTTTTTCTGTAATTCTGAAATTATTAATATTATTTTTTTAAAAAAAAAGATTTTCTACTACACTGGAAGTTGTGCAGGGTAGAAAACGACCTCATAAAACTGCCTGGTTTTCGGCTTCCTTGGAAGAGGGTTAAATGGCATATGATGCACAGTAGGAATATGTGTGCATCTTTCCTACCTGTTGGCTCTAACTTCCAAGCAACTTGCACCTTCAGAAGAACACAGCCTATGCTTTCTTAATTAGCCACCGAATGGGGATTAATGGTATCAAAATACCAGCTGTCAGTTTCCGTGCTTTCAAAGTGCCGTTCAAGAGCAGGGCCTGTCAAACGCATCTGGAAACCCAGATGTTGCCTGCAGAAAGTTTTGGTTTGTTTGTTTGTTCTCTCCTTTTAAAGCAGATGAAACAAATTGAAAGCTAATGAAGACAAAGATGCAACACAAAGTGAAGGTCCCTGCTCCGGCTTTTTTAAAAATATAATTTAAACAAAATCAAAAGGAAACATTAATACAATACAGATGGGCCCCTTCAGAAGGAATGAAGATTTCTCCTCTCTTAGTTTCATCTTCCCAACTTTCCTCCAAGACTTTTTCTTTTCTTTTTCTGTGGGGGGTGGGAAGGGGAGAAAGGAAAATGAAATTTCATCTCCTCTCCTCGCTAAAGGCTGGTGCTTGAGTGAAGCCCAGGAAGATTCGCAGCAGGCAAACGGCAACAGATTCAATTGGGTTAAGTATTGATTTTCTATAGTGTTTGCGCAAGCTATTGAGAAAACAGACAAAATTACTTTCTACTCCCGTTGCTTCTAGGGCTTGAACCTCATGCTGGCATTTTTAGCCTAGTGAGCAACCTGGGAGAGGGTTCCTCACACAGTTGCAGCCTTGCAAGCCAGGCAAAGGGAGCTGTCCAGAAGGAGGAGGTCCTGATGCTAAGCAGTGGGGAAGCTCTCCAGAAGGCTCCTAGGCTAGGAGCCGGTCCGTCTTGGAGGCTCTTGCGTCACCAGTTTCCAGTCCGCAACTGGAAGTTCAAGCCAAGGATGGAGAAGCTGTGCTCCTCCAGATGTTGCTCGACTGCAGCTCTTATGAGCCCAGCATGGCCAATAGTCAAGAATCATGGGGATTTTAGCCCAGCAACATTTAGATGGCCACAGGTCCCTTGCCCTGGTGCTGAAGTACTTGGCCTGGCTACGCCCACCCTTCCACATGCACCATAAGAACATAGGAATACCCTGCTGGATCACAGGTTGCAGCCTCTACCCTCCATGAATTTGTCCAGTGCTCTTTTAAAGCCATCCAAAAGTTGGTGGCTATTGCTGCTTCCTGGTCTGTGCGACTCCCACCATTTAACTATGCACTGCATGAAGAAGGACTTCCTTTCATCCATCTTGAAACTTCCAGTGTTCATGGTCCTGATCATGTTTATGGCCAGGCTTCTTTCTTCCAGATTTGTATGACTTGGAACGCCTCCTGCAAGCACTTTGTACTGCCAAGAACAGTTATCAGTTCGCACAGGATGTGAGCCCGTTGCTCAGATGTGTGGCTCGTATCCACCAGCAGCCATTTGTCCAAGTTTGTGGCCCCAGTTTTATGGAACTTCCTTCCACAATAGGTCAGCCAGCAACCCCTTCCCTGGCAAACATCTGGCATCTATTGAAAATGTTTCTTTTGATCCCACCAGGCATTTTAAACTGAATTCTGATATTATAGTTTAAACTGATTTTTATTATCATTGTTATAAAGCCGCTTGTACACCACTTAGCAACCATTGTTATTAAGCAGTCTATTAATGGTTGGAATAAATAATATTTAAACAAAGTGCACCTGTGTGAGACAGAACGATGGCCTGAGTTTTAACCGGTCTCTGATCATGAACAGGTGCGTGTTTTGTTTGGATTTAGCACAATTTGAGTTTCATAGTTTTGCTGAGCATTTTAATGTTCCAGTGCGATAGGATCACAACAACACCACCCAGTATCCCTCTCACCCACCCCACCCCACCCCCGTTTCAGCACAACTGTGGTTTGGTAACGCAGCAATTTTCTACACTGCTTCAAAGCTAAGCAGGCTATAACTCTATGACCGACAATCTGCTTTTACCATACCTTCCACTTTGAAATGATGCAATGGGTCAGGAAAGAAAAGGAGACAAAAAGTCATCAGAGGGAACGTCAGACATCACAAAAGAACTGATAGCTGGGTTGACAAGGTCTAAAAGAAGCCCCCACCTCCAGTACAGCGCAGGTCTAAAAAGTTTGTCCTCCAAGGAAACACTCAGGAGAACCAAGAGGCAAAACTTTTCCTGGACTGTTATCACTGCACCTTTGAATAGCCCCCCCCCCCCGACAAAAACAACAACAAAGAAATCCACCACATAGGAAAAACAGCATGTCAATGAGACAGTAGAATGGAACCCTTTTTAAAATATATGTGGCGAATTATTGTTTTTCTTCTGAAAAATGCAAACATTCAAACAGGCAGTCCTTAACCTGCAACCTTTAGCAGTCCAGGAAATGCCTTTCTTTGTTATTCTGCTGAATGGATAAAGGTAAAAACAAGAGGAATGTAGCAATAAGAAGGTGAGGATAAGAGACAGCAAATCTGGAAGAAGAAGAAGAAGAGGAGTTTGGATTTGATATCCCGCCTTTCACTCCCTTTAAGGAGTCTCAAAGCGGCTAACATTCTCCTTTCCCTTCCTCCCCCACAACAAACACTCTGTGAGGTGAGTGGGGCTGAGAGACTTCAAAGAAGTGTGACTGGCCCAAGGTCACCCAGCAGCTGCATGTGGAGGAGTGGAGACTCAAACCCGGTTCCCCAGATTACGAGACTACCGCTCTTAACCACTACACCACACTGGAAGAAAAAAAACCAAGAGTAAAAGTACTACCAAAACTCCATCATTTTCTCCAATGCCGCCTGCTTAAAAAACGGTATTCAATGATTTTACAAAAAAAACAAAACACAAAAAAACACCACATACCTGCCTGTTTAAGATCAGAATTAAAGTTATCTCCTATTAGCTCAAGCTCCACAAAGCAGGGAAATTGGAAGCTTAACAGGCCTGCCCAGTTACCAGCAATGGAAGCTGGGGAACACCACCAATTCTGCTGGCTTACAACTTAACCTCCATGCTCCTCCCCACACCTTTCTCCTTGGTCTTTCAGGCCCAAATCTATATGACAAGCATAGGCAAACTCCAAATGTTTTAGGACTACAACTCCCATCATCCCTGACCACTGGTCCTGTTAGCTAGGGATGATGGGAGTTGTAGTCCCAAAACATCTGGAGGGCTGAATTTGCCTATGCCTGCTATATGGGGAAGATGGGGAGCCTGGGACCGTCAAAGATTCCCCACAATTGTCGTGGTTCTGTACTGCTTTTTGAAGCATCAGAGGCTTACCGTATTGCTAGATCCTCCTGCTAAGATCATAACGCCTAAACACAGGCAGGCTCTTTTCTCCTCTAGAAAAAAAAAACCTCGTCTGCAGCAGTGTATTCCCATCAAGCACATGCCATATGTTTTACCAGGCCCATAATCAAACCACTACACCACATTGCCTCTTTACTCTGGATAGGAGCACAGCGGTGGCACCGTACAAAGTGGGCAGGTAGTATGTGCTAGTGTCTTGAGTGTCTGACTGGCTAAGCAGGTGGCATGTGGTTCACAGGGATTTACTGCCACAGTAAATATCTTTCACCGTGATCTACAGCCTTGGATCAGCCTGAGATAAAACTCTGGAAGAGAACACTGCTTTCCTCCTAGCAAATCTTCTGGAGGGGGAGGCTGTGTGTGTGTGTGTGTGTGTTAAATCTGGGGTGGTGTGTCTGTGAAGAGGGTTCTTGTGGGGTAAGATGTGTGGGGTGTTTCAGTAGGGCATGCCATTTTTCCCTGTGGATAGCTCAGTCGGTAGAGCATGAGACTCTTGATCCCAGGGACATGGGTTTGAGCAATAGTTTCCCTACATTTCAGGGGGTTGGACTAGATGACCCTCATGGTCCCTTCCAACTCTACAGTTCTATCATTTTAGGGGGTGAAGAACACCCCACCATAAAAGGGTGGGGTGTTCTTCACAGCTAACAAAGCACCAAACCCACCCCAATTCCTGCAGAAACACCTTTACTCAGCTCAGCTTTAACACTGGTAAATGTTATTCACTAGATCAGTCCCAACTCCACTCTGCACCAACTTTTGCATTAAGGGCCCCCTTCTGCATTGTAATACTTACGTCTCCATTCATCAGTTTACAGTCATCTTCCATCTCATCGGCGCTGTCCTCATCAGACACTTCTCCTTCCTCTACATCTTCGCTAATGTTAGCTGGAAGTTTCTTCCCCTGGGAGGCAAAAGCATAATTAAGCTGCACAAACTAGAAATAAGAATCAATACAAAGCACTGTATTGATGGCATCTTAGCCAAGTGAGCATTAAAAAAAAAAAATCACAGTAAGATACATGCACAGATTCATTTCTTGCATTTTTATTCCATTTAAGGAGCTCAGGGTCCATTTAAGGAGCTCAGGGTAAGGGACACGGGTGGCGCTGTGGGTTAAACCACAGAGCTTAGGACTTGCTGATCGAAAGGTCGGCGGTTCGAATCCCCGCGACGGGGTGAGCTCCCGTTGCTCAGTCCCAGCTCCTGCCCACCTAGCAGTTCGAAAGCACATCAAAGTGCAAGTAGATAATTAGGGACCACTCTCCAGCGGGAAGGTAAACGGCGTTCCGTGTGCTGCGCTGGTGCTGGCTCGTCAGCTGCGGCTTAGTCATGCTGGCCACGTGACCCGGAAGCTGTCTTCGGACAAGCGCCGGCTCCCGGCCTCTTGAGAGAGATGAGCGCGCAACCCTAGAGTCGGTCACGACTGGACCTGTTGGTCAGGGGTACCTTTACCTTTTTTAAGGAGCTCAGGGTAGTACACTCAGATAAGTCCATCTCCCTTATTTCATCTTTACCACAGCCCTGTCAAGTAAGCATGCCACTGTTTGGGCAGAACATAATTTATAGCTGCTCCATTTGGGCACCAAAAGAGCAACATCTTCTAATAATGTTTGTGTCATTTTGAAGAGCCAAAACTTCGACCAAGGCCCAGGTTGCTCTGATACCAATGCCTCAAAATGGAGGAGTCCAAAGCAGGCAGGGTAATATATATTTATTGACTGATAACCTTCACAGCCACCAAATCCTTTAAAAAAGGGCTGAACGACCTGAGGTGCTGCGTTATCCATTATGAGTGAAGAATCATCCCAGGTACTTATCAGAAGCTCCATCTAAATGAATCGCTTCAAAGATGGGAGAATTTCTTCAAGAGAGCTGCCATTGATCTCTCGCACTTGAAAATTCAATCGTCTATAAATGGCCGCCGCCAGGAGCAGACTGGGTGAAAATGCTTGGTGAAAGTTAACTGAACAATGTCAAGCTCTGTGTGGTACACACAGGGAGAATAGAGAGCACAGGTGCAGAATCTTGATGACCTTGAGGCTCCACCTCCCAACCAGCCTGGTCAGTGGACTGAGATGACATACACGTTTCACTCCAGCAATATCTGGTGGGCCACATATCCCACAGTCCTGTCCCTACCAGCCGAAGTGGCTGTGTTCTGCCTCCATCCACTGCCATAGGCAGCAAGCCTCTGAGTATATCCGTGCCTGGGAATCACAAGAGGGGAGAGGGCTGATGCACTCAGCTCCTACTTGCCGGCTTTCTATAGGCACCTGACTGGCCACTATAGGGACAGATGCTGCACTAGATGGACCATTGGCCTGATCCAGCAGCCTCCTCTTATGTCCTTATGATGAAAATCCATTCCAAGTAAGGTAAAGGTAAAGGACCCCTGGACGGTTAAGTCCAGTCAAAGGTGACAATGGGGTTGCGGTGCTCATCTCGCTTTTAGGCCAAGGGAGTCGGCGTTTGTCCTCAGACAGCTTTCTGGGTCATGGGGCCAGCATGACTAAACCACTTCTGGCACAATGGAACACCGTGACGGAAGTCAGAGTGCACAGAAATGCCATTTACCTTCCCGCTGGAGCGGTACCTATTTATCTACTTGCACTGGTGTGCTTTTGAACTGCTAGGTTGGCTACTTTTTTAAAAAAAAAAAAAAGCTCTAAGTTTTCTTATAACAGCCGTAAGTTTGAAGCAAGCTTGTTTTCTCCTGCTCTGGAGCATGGGACTCAAACCAATGTCTTCAAGTTACAAGAACGGAGATTCCGACTAAACATCAGGAAAAACTTTCAGATAGTAAGAGCTGTTCAACTGTGGACAAGTCTTTCTTGGGAGGTTGTGGACTCTCCTCCTTCCTTGGAGGCTTTTAAGCCTTTTTTTTTTTTTAAGACTCCAGGGCTGTAACCAGCAATGCTGACCCTCTGTTGCTGGTCGAATTTTTTTATATGGGGTGGGGAGGTTCAATGGGAGGAGCTTCTATAATGTCTGTCAGCAGCTGATTTTACGGTTGAGTGCCTGTCAAAAAAAGGTTTGGCCTGAAATTTAACCTGTGCTGTGAAAGATTCAGGTTTGTCAAGTATTTTTATTCAAATGCTCCATATATATTTTTTACTTTGGAAAAAAATAGATAACCATGACTAACAGGGCATAGTTAAGGCTATATAAAAAAGAGAAATTCTCCTCTGTTAGGATGACAGTGTCACTATGTGCTCAGAATGTCAGAGGGCTTATTAGCCACTTACGCATGTATCTTGGGGCAACAATATGAATTCCATGTGCGTACCCACACTCTCCAAACCAAGGCTCTGCTAAGGTACAGTTCCCAAGATTTTATTTTGCAGGGAGGAGTCATGACAGCTAAAACTTGCGTAAAACTGATATTGGCAGCAGAGTAGGTGTCAAAAAGACCTATGTCTGTACTTTGAGCCTTTGTTTCATACCTTAAAGGCCACAGCCTTCTGTTTCAGGGCCAGCTTCTTCCAGGTTACATCACAGCTCATATCCGTCTCAAACAGCCCTCCCACAGTGATGCAAAGCATATAGTGTTTAATAGTTTAGAGACCTTTTGTTTTGCTTCTGCTCTGCATCTAAAAACGTCTTTGGCATTTGTGATGGATTATTTGTTTTACAAATTTATAAACGACTTCACAGCCAACGTGGTGTGCAAGGAGATGAAACAGAAATATTACAACCTCCCCCAAAAGAATGAAAAACATTCCTACAAACTAAAAACAATTCCTAGGAATGTACAATTAATATTTCACAAATGACTGTGTCACAAAACGGGGGGGGGGGGGGGGAGCGTGAATCATTGATTGCCTAAACATCAGGATGCTGGGCACCAAATTTCAGCTTGTAATTGATTCCAGAGGGCTGGAGCTACGAGACTTAAAAGCCCACTTTCAAGTACAGGCTAAGTGCACCTCTGGGGCATGTGGTATGCTCAGGAAAACAATTGCTAGACACACAGATATGGGGTGAGGTGATCCCATAGGTAACCTCGACTTAAGTTGCTTAGGGTTTTAAATGCTAAAAGCAAAACCCTTGAACTGCACCCAACAGCATAGTGTTAGCTACAGCAGCTGTCCCAATGGAGGTGCTACAGGTATACGATATCAACGGGACATCCTTGTCAGCAACCTGGCTGCAGCCCTAAGTAAAATTTTAAACAACCTCTTTCTTATTAGGATGGCATACACCCCCTCCTAAAAAAAGCCACAGTACCTTTGGATAACACTGAATGCCATCTTCACTTGCAAGCTCTTGCCCAGATACTATAATTTAATTTAGCTTGTAAACTTACTATAGCAAGCCTGAATAGACTATGAGACTTATCGTTATATCTAAGAGCTTTGGTGCAGAGTGGGTGGGGAATCAGCTGAGATTTATGGGAAGGCCAAATTGGTGCTACTGTTGAGAAGATTCCAGTTGAGTCCTAGTTACAGTAGACTAGTGTTCCCCAAACCAGGAATGTTTGGGACTACAATTCCCATCACCCCAACGATTGGTGATGCTGGCTGGCTCTGGTGGGAGTTGTAGTCCAAGAAATCTGGGGGGCACCAGGTTGGGGACAGCAGCCAGAGACACCCTTCTGCCCAAAATAGTAAGGAGCTACAGGAGAGCCTAGACTACCTCAAGCTTCACAAAGCACACAATCGAATTCACCTCTGCAATGAAGCTGCATTTTAATGTTGTATTTTAATCTTGTTTTTATACCTGGTGTTAGCTGCCCTGAGCCCAGTCTTGGCTGGGGAGGGTGGGGTATAAATAAAAATTATTATTATTATTATTATTATTATTAGATCAAGTCAACATAGTTGCAAAACCAAATCCACCCCCATTCTCAGGCACTGGGAACATTTGAGTCAACATTCAGGCTGGCCAGTATCCATTTGATATATTAACAGACTGCCTGCTACACCCCACAAACACCACCACCACCCCAAAAATCCAGAGGGTACTTCACTTGCTGCCCTCGAATGTCTATCAAAATGTCAGGCAGCTTGCAAAGAGATTTAAACAATAACACCGACAACCTTTGCCACCACTCCAGGGGATATTCCATTCAACAACTTCACCAGCTAGCCGTAACAAAAGGATGGAGGCAATGAGGACTGCTTGACCGGCACGTAGGAGAGTAACGAGAGGGGAAGCTACAACGGCAGCACTTCGACTGGCTCTCCTGAGGCTAACTTCACAAGCTTCATGCTACATGCCATTAGAGTTTGATTGATGTTAGGAGGATTCCGGAGAGACACTGGCAGTTCAGGCACAGTCAACCATGGTTATTCATTTAGACACGCACAAACCTTCGCTGGGTCTACACTGGCTGCAGCCACAGCAAAGAGGAGCGGCCGAGGCACACACTGTGAATCTTAAAATTTGGAATAGTCTCGGGCTGGAAGACGGCTTCCATTCACGCACAGACATTGGAACAAATTTAAGCGAAAAGGGTGTCTCTGTGTATATACATATAGTAATAGTCACATAGCCAGTGTTGCTTAAGAATTCTAAGAAACCAAAAAAATCAGTGCAGT